GAACTAATGTTGAGAGCTCAGCAGACAGTTAGGTTTCACTTTCACTTTGACCTGAAAGCCTGAAGGAGTCATGGGCGGGGTTTGTGTTGGTGGGGGGGTGGGGGGTGCTCAGCCATGAGGAAGTTCAGCTTAAAGACACGTCCCGGAGGCGTTTCTGGTCCCCACCTGTCGTTTTGCTCCTCGGCATGGCTTCCTAAAAACGCTGCAGGATTTCTCAAACATGCATGAATGAGTCAAAGCAAGGCTTTGGGCATGTTTTTTATGAGAGTATAACAAATAACATGATATAAAACTCAAAAAAGTTTATTTTACATGATATTGCCCCTTTAATACTAGGGATGTGTTTTGTAAAAGTAGAGCTCAAGTCCATGTAAGAAATGGACGACTGAAAGTAGACCACCATACCACTTTGCACCAGATCTGCATGGGCCTCCCTACTTGTGGTGGGCCCACAGGAAGGCTCATTAGAACTTAGCCTGACCAGACCCCATGGGTAGAGGCTAACTCACTAAGCACTAGCTGATAAGCCCCTCTCCCCGACATAGCTCCATGGCTGAGCCCTGGTAAGCCTCGTTTAGGCGAGGGACATTGAATTTGTTGTCTTCTGTCCATACAAGTATCATGACTCACTTTTAGTCCGACCTGTCACCTGTAGGTCTAATCTACCTTGGGAGACCCTACACTACCATAGCTCTCAGGATCATTCAGGCACACAAACCTCCACAATCAGGTGACGCTTCACGGAGGAGTGCTTGGGAAGTTGGTAATTCAGTTTACTTGTCCATCAGTCTTTGTCACGTGCGAGCAGCTATACCATAATTGTTTACTCTCGTCCAGTAAACATCCTGCGTTGATTATATTACTGCCTTTGAAGAATGAGTTCAGTCTCATAAACAAGATTAAATGACCTCTAAATATCGAGAAAGGCTGCCATATTTAGCTAAACTATTGGGCAGGAAAACAACGTACATGTTTTGTTAAATTTTGACATGTTGGATGTTGTGTAAAGTATCTAATATATGATGGTTAATGAAGTGTAGTGTGGACGGTGTGCAGGGAAAACAAATTTTCTACCTGTGATTTTGTGGATTTTGGTCAGTGTACTTGTTCTGGTCGAGTGTGGGTGTTAATGAAATGTAATTTTATTTGTGCAGCATCCTGATAGGAAACAAATCTGCATGGAGTCTCCTTTGAAAAGCTGCACACATCTGTTGTGTTCACTGTCACTGGTTCAGGTATGATCCAGTTTGAACGGAGGGTTTCAAATAGGAAGTGGTGGTTGATTTTATACCAATTCATGTCCATCTTTGGTCCAATGGAAGCTCTGAGCTGACGTCAGGTGTTACATTCATGACATTTTTATTTTGGGCTCATCATACAATGACTCAGTACGTCTAGTTGGAGGGAATTACATGGACGAAAACACACCAATCACTCAAACCACAGCTTATTTTTAAGACTCTGAGACTCTTCTTAACAAGTTTCTGCGTTGCTCTTTACTTGTGTCGAAACATGCATGAAAGAGGTTGTTGAACAGGTGCAGCTCCTAAGCGAGCCTCGCCTCTGAGAAGCTTTTTAGCTGCAACTCATCTCTTCCTCCTCCTCATCTGTAAATGTGAYGGCCGAGCTTTCATCTGACAGCCTGGCAGATACATCCTGCGTTCAGTTCTGCAGCAGGAAAAACTACTTCCTGAATATTGTTTCAGTCTCCCAGTAAGCAGCGCCATGTCGGCGTGCACATGACTTTCCATATGATAAAACATCATGCTATAAAGCTTTCTTTTTAATATAAGGGTATGTGTGGGTGTGGGTGTTTAATGTCAATTGGCTGTGGCAGCCATCTTGAACTGTAAAAGGGGACCTACAGTTTTGTGCAAAATTCACTTTTTAAAGTTTTTTTTTAACTCAACTTTGGGTATGTACTTCTTAAAAAAACAGTCCTAGGACCAAAAAAATGCACCCAGGGGCATATTTACTGTAAGTAAATGTATTTTTAATGTATATTAATGACAAGTTTTATACTTCCGTTATTTTGTGATGTCACAAGCGGTACGACAACCCACCGGAACCTGCGTTCAGCCCCTTACCTAGCAACCCCTAGGTGAAGCTCCACCTCCTCAGTAT